CCAGGCCTTACTACTGGAGCAATGACGCTACTAGGGGCGCCTGGCCTTACTACTAGGAGCAAGGACGCTACTTGGGGCTCCTGGCATCGCTACTCGGAGCAAGGACGCTACTAGGGGCTCCTGGCCTTACTACTAGGAGCAATGACGCTACTAGGGGCTCCTGGCCTTACTACTAGTAACAAGAAGCTACTAGGGCGGGAGAGATGTTGGGGTCTCTGATATGGAGTGGTGGAGCATCAGTACATGAGTACATGGGAAGCACCCAAGAATACGGCTCTTGTGCAAGGTTTCAGTTGAACTGGATGGCACCTTCTTGCTGGTGTGTTCTTTTTGAGGAATCCTCCATGCAATGAGGAGTCGTACGTGATCTTTTTTCAGGTTGGTTCTTCCTTTCACAATGCTTATCAGTTTGTTTTGAGTCATTGACCCTTGAAACATTGGTGGATCCTTGACATCACCAACCACGGTCTGCTTGAAAAAAGAACGTGAAATCTAGTTCTCGCTCGCTGGATGTTTTTTTTCTCAACCTTTTTCCTCCTGTCCCTTCCAACATGAAACCGTGGGACAGAACCACTGCCCCATTCTGAGGCCGAAGCAGGAGCTGCGCGGTCTGGGAGTTCTAGGAGTTGACTCTTTGAGGTTTTGACCAATCAGTTGCGACCTACCACACCTACGACCTTGTCACCTCGTCTGACAGATGCGGGCGAGATTTTGGGCGGCGGTCTATTTTGGGTCGCATCTTGGAGCAGGGCGGATGATCTCTCGCCATATGTTTTAAACGTCTAATATAGTTTGCTTTCAGTCTGGAGGCCATCATAGTGTGCCCCGCTCGAACTCGAACTCGAACTCGAACTCGAACTGAAACAATTGTGCTTATTGATGAACTCAACCCTGAAAGGATATATGGAAGGAACCGAACTCGAACTCGATCTCGAACTCGAATTGGAACAGTTAGAATTCAACCCGGTGGACGAATAGAAAGAGTCGAACTCCAAAATCGCTGTCGTTGAATCGAATTCGAATTCGAACTCGAACTCGAACTGGTCCCCCCCCCGGGGTGTAAAAATTGTCGTCGATTCGAATTCGAATTCGAACTAATGCTGCGTTGTAATGGCTCCTTCCTATTCTAAATTTCACCCTCGAATGGCCCACAACAGGAATGCTACGTTGTAATATAATGGCTCCTTCCTGCTCTAAATTTTACCCTTGGGTGGCCCACAAAAGGGATGCTACGTTGTGGTCAATTGGTTGGTTGCTGCTGGCGCCGCTGGCAGGTGGCTGTTGGTTGGTTGGTTAGCAGGTTTTGCCGCAGGGAGTTCACACGAAAATGTTGATTTCGTGGCAGGCGCGGGTTTTGGAGATGAAGTGCAGATTTCGTGGCGCGGGGGGGTTGGGGGGGGAGCGCAGCGTCCCCCCCAGCAGCACACCAGATCCGAAATAAAACAAATGTTGGCTGCAAAGATGAGACTGCGCAGCGCGGATACTTTCAACAGGTTGATTGCTTTGTTGCTAGCTTGGTTGGTTCCTGTTCTTCTTTTCTGTTGTGGGTCGTGGCGATTGCGGTTGTGGTTGTTGTCGTTGCAGTTGGTTCTCGTTGCTGTTGTTGTGGGTCGATCCGAACTCGAACACGAACTGGTCCACCCCCCTCTCGCTCGATCCACGCAATCTCGCGCATCGAACTCGAACCCGAACTCGAACTCGAACGGGATCAGTTAGAACCACCTGGGGCACGGCCTGGAGGCCATCGCCATTAGGGAGGCCACCGATCTCTGCAGTTTTAGTGGGCAGCTTGGCAAGCTTGGTAGGCCGCATTGGTCCGTTTTTGGGGCAAGGGACATGTACTCAGCGAGTCCAGCTACCAGAATAGGAGCAACATGGAGCTACAGGTCACATGTGATTCCCTGCAAAGACTGTTTGAACCACTGAAATCATGCCACGTCTTTCTTTCACTTCCTCAAGTCGGGCTCAAGCACCCCAAAAACGACTGCAAACCCCTATCCGCCTTCGGCATCCTTCGGCACCATGCCTCACGTCTTCAACTACGCGGCTCGGTGGGAAGCGAAGATTCGAGGGGGCTGGCACTTGTGGGGAGGGTTTTGGGGCAAAGTTGATGGGGCCAGGCGCAAGAGACTTTTCTTTTCCTTTTCATCACTTCTGCAGGTCTTGCGGTTTGTGTTTAGGCAGAGTTTGTTTGAACCTGCAATCTGTGATGAGAAACAGTGAAGTGAGGGACGAGTGGCCGGTAGCAGACGTAACACTTTCCCAAAATGATGGACAGGTGTAACACCTTGCACAGTTTTCAGGACACTTCTGGAAGCATAATTATAATGCAAGTAATTATGGTTGCCGAAGGCTCGCCCGATTGGGCCGGGAATTGGCGCCACACTCCAAAAGAGTTCGTCGGTTTCTGGACAAACACTTTGGAGTCATAGTTGCTATTAGGTTGGAGGACTAGGAGCAAGAACGCTACTAGGGGCTCCTGGCATCGCTACTAGGAGCAAGGACGCTACTAGTAGCAAAGGGCATCGCTTCTAGGAGCAAGAACGCTACTAGGGGCTCTGGTGCTGAGCTCTCCAAAGTCTTGGACTCGTTTCGAGGGTCCGTTGAAGCGTTTGGACCGCCAATCTCAGGAGGAGAACAAGTTCGAGCAGGTGCACTACAACAAGGTGCTCAGATTGGGGGAGTTTTATGCACTTGTCCTTTCTGCACCTTCTTTCTGACATGAGACGCGAACGTGTCGGACATGCCACTTCCATTTGATAATGGTTGCATCCCAGAAAAGAGCAATAACAGAGTATCACCCAGTTGTAGGATAGCAGTATCGCACCTATCAGAGTTGTCTCTTGTGTATGTCAATCTCTAAGTGAAGACTGTTCCATCAGGTTGGAGGCCATCGCTGTTAGGGTAGAGGCCATTGCTTCTAGGTGCTTCTTTGTTGTTACTATGTTTCAAAGATATATCAATCTCTAAGTGAAAGCCGGTGGAGACTTCGTGGGTCGCAGGTGCCTCAGCGACCCACCACCCAGGTGAACAAGCGCTGCTCGGTGGGTTGTTGGCCGTGGGTGGAGGAGGCAATCTGTACCGAAGACTCTTTTGTTCGATCAAATCTCGTGGAACGTCTCCTCCGCGAGTCAATTGCAGTCACCACCACCTGCCATTCAGCATGTTCAGGGATTTTCTCTAGTAGGGTAGAGGCCATCGCTAGTAGGATGGAGGCCATCGCTACTAGGTTGGAGGCCTTGTTGGGTCGCATCCAATTCGCTTTGTGGCAACGATCCAAACCAATCGGCTTGGCCCCGCTTAGTGCACGCTTGGCTGAGGTCAACGCACACAGGAAGCCATGAAGTGTCTTGGCATCTTCACCGAAGCCCTTCGAAGCGAGGGCCCTTAAAAGGCGTTCGATCCATTTCTTTGTTACTAATGGCTTCTCGTTACTACTAGTAAGGCACTTGTTACTAGAAGCGATGCACTTGTCACTAGAAGCGATGCACAGGCTTCCGAGTCTTTTTTTCTTTTAAACGCAGACCAAGGCTTTTGGGAATCCACTGGACATCCACTGGTCTTGGACAATGGAAGCTCAAGCTTTGGACCCTGGTCTTGGTTCCCAAGAGGTGTGGCTCAATGAGAAGTGTGGTAAGAAGTATACGAAGGATTAATGCTCCACAGATTTGTTTTTGCAAGATTTTTAAGCATCTTTTTCCTAGGAACAAGAAGCTAGGAGCAAAGGGCATCGCTACTAGGAGCAAAGGGCATCGCTACTAGGAACAAGGACGCCACTAGGGGCTCCTGGCCATACTACTAGGAGCACTGTTCGCTACTAGTAACAAAGGGCATCGCTACTAAGAGGATGAAGCCCTGGAAGCACTTGAGACAGGTTCTGCAGCTCCGCAGAGGTTCTGTAGTTCTGCGACACCGAGGAAGGACGTCACCCGAAACCCCTTTCTGGTGGCCGATGGGAGGTCTCCATCTCATCCCACTTAGTAGCGATGGCCTCCAACCTAGTAGCATTTCATCCCTGGGTCCCCATGTGGTTAAACTTCGAAATGGATCTCAAAAAACTTTTGTAAAAAAAAACCTACGAAATCACGAACTTCTCCTAGTAACTTCCTGTTACTACCTGTTTCCTGTCCGTCGGCCGAAAGGCGAACATCCGGGGGAGATGCAGCCCGCTTCAGAACCCTCAGGTTCTTGCTGAAGCAGGAGGACATTGAGAACAAGAAGCACGAGGTGGGTTCACGCGGCCATGCGGCAGCCGCAGCACGAGACTGGACCCATTTTCGGTGAGCAGGGCTGGTTTGGGTTTTGCTTACGCTGTAGTTTACATCTTTTTGAGGATTTGCCTACTTAGTAGCTTCTTGTTCCTAGTAGTACGGCCAGGAGCCCCTAGTAGCGTCCTTGCTCCTAGTAGCGATGCCAGGAGCCCCTAGTGGCGATGTCCTTGTTCCTAGTAGCGAGGCCAGGAACCCCTAGTAGCGAACATTGTTGCCGAATCCGAAGGGGAAATGATTTGTCATCGAAGCCAATATGACAACGATTGGGGTTTTCCTCCACACAGAGATGCTCTTCTCCGAATGCTAGATATACTTTTTTTTTCAGACCATGTCTTTTCTATTTTGTTGAAACCTTTTCTCTTGTTTTAGACACTTTTGTGTTTTTCGTTTCTTTCAATTCTTTTTCAGCTCTGGACCATTTTGCATTGTTGTCCTTTTTTTTTAAACACACGGTTTGTTTTTCTGTTCTTTCAATGTTTTGTCTCTAGACACCCTTTTTTCGATTGTTTTTAATCTAGACCTCTTGTGTTTCGTTTTCTTTATTTTCGGTCGAGTCACGGTTCACCGCCCAAACAGCCCATGCACCGTGATCCGCCTTCACCGAAGGCTCACCTGCGCCGCAAGGAGGAGCGACGGATGACGAAACCATGGAACATGCAGATGGGAGCCTTTTTGAGACCCTTTCGGACACGTTCCGGTGGTGACCAGAAAGTGGGGGATTTGGTCACTAGAGTGGATGGTTGGTGGAATGGGTGTCTACAGATCAGGTGCTCTAAAGGTGCAGAGGCTGAGTTTCTGAAAGCTCCATTGAAGGTTTACGTTGGTGACATGAAGGTCTTCTGGAGTCAAAGCAAGGAGTCAACAACTGAGAATAGCTGATTGAGCCACTAGTAGCGAACATTGCTCCTAGTAGTAAGGCCAGGAGCCCCTAGTAGCGTCCTTTGCTCCTAGTAGCGATGCCCTTTGTTACTCGTAGCAATACTGCCCTTTTATGCTCCAAGATATGCAACTTGTTTGACTTTCCCACCAGCCATGTGCGTAGCGACTTTTCTCCTAGGGTCCTATCCAGAAGAACACCCAGTTGGGGAAGTGGATATGAGATTTTAGACTATTCTTGCTCATCAATATGAGAAGGGTACTTAAGTGGGAACACTTGGCCTCTTAAAATGTATCTGAGGAGAGTTCCAAAAATGTGTGTCAAAATCCGGAAGAAACCCAAGGGTTCTCTCTCTCTCTCTCTTCCTTTTCTCCAAAAGAGAGGCCCACCTCCAACACCGCAGCCTGGACGCAGGACTAAGATGGCTGAGCTCCTGGGATAGTCCGGCGCGATCCGATGTGAGTGGCACACGGTATGAGTGGCACCCTGCCCCTGCACTGCGGTCGTGGGACAAAATACGAGACGGACGGGCCGAAACGGATTGGGTGGGAGACGATTACTTCCATCAAGCAAAGGATGCGCAGGGCGTCTTGGGTCTAGTGCATTTTGGCAGCTTTGCCCATGTTCCACCTACACCAGAGCTTTGCATAGAAAGCTCTCCCAATGAGGAAGGATATTCATTCCTTGTCACTAATGCGGGCCTCGATTTGGTGGGAGATTTTCGGATCAATCACCTTGATTCGCTACTAGGGGCTCCTGGCCTTACTACCAGGAGCAAGAAGCTACTAGGGGCTCCTGGCATCGCTACGAACGGAGCGATCGGACGCTTCTCTGACCCAGAGATCTCGTCGAGAGGACCGGGTGTGGCTCTCGTCGCAGGAGAGTGAGGTGGCTCTGACAGGGAAAATCCTTCCAGGCGGGTTCCGAGGTGGCTCGGAACGGGGTTTTTCGATGAGAAGAGGACACATGAGGGTCACCAGTCGTATGACCCTTCTCAACCATTTGCGTGGCACATGTTTTGCATAAATCATATCAATATACAGCCGGGTACGATGTAAACTCTTAGTGATCAAAGTTTGAGATGAGGTGTCAGATCTTGATCTGAAGTTTTTGGGTTGGTCTCCGCATCCGAAACAAAATTCACGACGCGGATGATATGTTTGGCTCAAGGCACTTTTGCTTGCAAACCAACCAGTTACACCTCACTGCCTTTCGTTTTTTGGGAATACTTCCATGCCCTCGCCTCCCCTCCCTCTCCATATCTTTTCCATAAAAAAGGAATAGGAACCAAATCATCAGTGCGAGCACGAGCTATGCTGCGTCCAGACTAGTAGCTGAAGTAGCCAACTAGCTACCTCTCCAACCCTCTTCTAGCGGCCTCCCCCCCCGGGCTTTTGGAAAAATATGGAGTCTAATAGCAATGGGCTCCAACCCTACTAGCGCCCTTGCTCCTAGTAGCGATGCCAGGAGCCCCTAGTAACATCGATGGCCTCATCTCCTTTCCTCTCCCGACGGCTCTGCGAGGAAACGGCGACGTCCGGAAGCGTCGTGCCAGCGAGGTGGAGCCGAAGGACGGTGGAAGCGATGAAAGATGCAAAGGAAGCTACTAGGAACAAGTGCATCGCTAGTAGTAACAAGTGCCTTAC